TGTGTGTGTGTGTGTGTGTGTGTGTGTGTGTGTGTGTGTGTGTGTCTTCCTCTACGACCCCTGATAAGGCAGATAATGATCCATCACGATAATGGAGCTTTAATGGCTGCAGTAAAAATCATCTTCAACAAACCCTCTCTCTCTCACTTTGTCACACACACACACACACACGTCTTATCCCTTCCCTCAGTCTATCTTTCTGCTTCCCACAATCCTCTCTGTCACTCACTAAATCAGAACTTGAGCTTGCAACATACACTTGAGCGTCATGCCATGCACTCACGCACACCTATCATGTCGAACACCCAAACCACTGACACCTACACTAATGTATCTAAACACACACACACACACACATATCTTACCACAAATACTAACAATCAAACACACACACACAAACACACACACACACTCTTGTCATGAATCTGGCAAGCTGCCCACTTACGTTATTTCATCTCCATTTCCCTCTGACCACACGCACTGTGATTGCATGAGACGTGATCCGCTGGAGCCACAACATCCAAACGTACAGCTCATAACTGGAAACTGTATCACGCAACGTTGTTTGTATTTCATTTCTTCAGGTCATGAATGAGCGAGGGAGTGAATGTAGCAAGAGAGGAGGTTTATTGCTTTGCAACGTGTAGACGGAGGATTAAATTATGATTACTTTCAGAGGAAAAAGATTTTCCCACCAGGTTAATTGTCGTGATTTAAGTATGTGGAGACTCTGTTAGACGCAGCTTTGCAATAAAGTCCATTAGGGCAAACAGTCAGCCAGGTTTTAAACATGTCCTCAGTTTAACCACACTAGCTAAAAAAAAAACCTTTTAAGGAGCTTTTTGCAGAGCTGCTTCTTCTCATGGTCCACTGACTGCACCATGAGTGTGCACACGTGCAGATTTCAGCTATATTCACCTTTGATTTCACTACCAAATAACGAGCTTAGATCAGTGGTTCTCAACCTGTGGGGTCGGGACCTTTCCGCTGGACACATGATGGATGTGATGGCCCGCAAGATGAATAATTGAAAAATTGAAAAAGATTCAAATTGTTTACACTTTTTCTAACTCATCTCTAATCTTTACTTTGGATACTTTCCCCCAAAAAATACTCTAATTCAATCTTGCGCGTTTCATGTCAAAAATCTCTCTTTTGCGGAGCTGAAAGCTTGTTGACGGGAGAAGAACGCAAGAAGACACTGGTATCACGTCTAAAAACAGTTTTACTGCTCATGTGTCTAAAACTGTGTCTTACAGTGTTGCTATCTTTAGAGATCGCAGCACTGACTTTATTGATCAAATATCATCTGAACCAGCAGTACATTAAACAAAAAGTGAAATAAATATCTCGGTTGTAAAACAGCAGAATTTTCATTAAAACCACAAAGCTAGTGCCACCAAATGCTGATGTGAACAATGGTGTGGCACAATGTTATTCATTAGTTTTATGTAATACTGTCGTCCT